ACCCGATGATCAGTACTCCCGCGGCCCTGTCTCTGACTCTTAGCAGCCTGTTCACGGTCTGGTTAACCAGGCTGTTGGAGGCCGCTTGACGCAGTCTGGTGTATGAATCACAGACCGGTGTATTAAGTGTCCTCCTAAATGCCGAAAGAGGTCTGCTAGTTATGGCACTTATGTTCAGTGGGGGGCGGTGTGGGGCGCCTCGTTGACGGCCGGAGAATTGTCAATGGAGGACCTTATCTAGCCTGTCATTTGACAGGTTACCTGAGACATACCTGGTGGGGGTTTCGAGAGTTCCCCGACACCAGCAGCTCCCAGGGCCACATAGCCACTACAACCCGGTTGGTCCAGTACTCCTTGCACCAGCTTGTCTAAATGCTTCTTGAAGGCTTCCGCGGTTGTTCCGGCAATATTTCTGTAGCTGGGATGGTGTTGAACTGCTGTGGTGCTCTGATGTTCAGACAGTGTTCTCTGATTGTGCCTATGACACCCCTGCTTTTCACTGGTTCTATTCTGCATTTCCTTCCGTACCTTTCGCTCCCGTATGTTGTTATTCTACTATGCAAATTTGGGACCCCAGGCCTTGAAATATATTTTAAGTATAGATTTTCTACCTATTATCTCCTTCCCAGGGAGTATAGTTTGAGAGTTTTGAGACGGTCCCAATAATTTGGGTGCTTTATCGTATCTCTGCGTATGTGTTCTCTGTATTCCCTCTGTTTTGAGAAATCGCTCCTTCTCTGAAAGGGGAAGGTAGGTAATTATCATGAGTAACCACTAAGCCATTACGACTATATAGCACTTGGAAGGAATGATGAAAAGATTTTGGGATATGAGGGAGTACTGAGCAGTACTCAAGACGGGACAGCGCCAGTGATTTAAAGAGTACTAGCATTGCTGTGAGGTCCCTGGATTTGAACGTTCTCATAATCCATCCTATTATTTTCCTGGCCGTCGCTATATTTGCTCGGTTATGTTCACTAAATGTCAGGTCATCAGGCGTAATTCACAGATCTTTTACATGTTACTTTCCATCTATGAGTAGGTCTGATTGTGTCCTATACTCTGTATTTCGTTTAAGTTTCTCGTTTCCACCATACCTAAATACCTAGAACTTATCACTGTTAAACATCATGTTATTTTCCGTTGCCCAATCAAAAACTTTATTAATATCGGGCTTGTAGTTTTACAATGGCTTCTACAGAGGAAATTGTAGAAACCTATTATAGGTATAGGTTAAGTAATAATTGTAATTACGAAGCAATAAGATGCTTATCTTAACATACTAAGAAGGTTAGGTAAGGTCGGTGTTTTCTATGAAGCTTTTTAAGGTAAACTAAATTATTCACAATAAATTAGTATGTCACATATGCACGTATTTAATAGTCAATATTGACTATATTAGGGAGCCGGTCGGCCGAGCGGACAGCACGCTGGACTTGTGATCCTGTGGTCCTGGGTTCGATCCCAGGCGCCGGCGAGAAACAATGGGCAGAGTTTCTTTCACCCTATGCTCCTGTTACCTAACAGTAAAATAGGTACCTGGGTGTTAGTCAGCTGTCACGGGCTGCTTCCTGGGGGTGGAGGCCTGGTCGAGGACCGGGCCGCGGGGACACTAAAAAGCCCCGAAATCATCTCAAGATAACCTCAAGACTATAAGAAAGTGCGAGAACGGGTTGCAACGTCACACCGATTTCTGTCTCAACTGCAAAGGATGACACGAAGCTGTGACTAGTATTTGTGTTTATATCCGAGATAAGAATGAGAAGATAAGAATGAGAAAGAGCAGTGGTGCAAGAACTGTGCCCTGGAGTACAGAGCTTTTCACTACACTTGATCTTATTTGATTGACTGTTACTTTCTGTATCCTGTTTGACACAAGTTAAAAATCCAACGCCCCCACTTTACCCGTTATTCCTGTTGACTTTATTTTATGACTTTATTTTATGACTTTATTTTATGACTTTATTTTATGACCTTTCACTTCATGGTCACATTTGTCGTGTACCTGTGCAAAGTTTGTGCATACAGCATTTTGATTTAATTCTAAAGTTTCTGTGATTTGAGTCAGGACCTGGGGCTGAGTGCATGGGCATGTTGGCACTTTTCATTCAAAGTCTTCCGTGTTCGTATTAATATACACGAACACACTGGCGCTTTAACCGAAACGCTATACGTGCTAGTGGCTTTATAAGAAAATAAAATTTCAACTTAATTTCTATGTTCTCTGTTAACCCCCCAATGTACCTTCTTGTATATAAACAAAGAAAGAAAGAAAGAAAGAAATGTCAGTGTTATTGTCTAGGGTTTGTATGTCATTCATAATGAAGCTGTCTGGATCATCAGCTTTCATAGTGGTTATTGATGTGCAATTAAACATGCATTTCCAGCATACCCCAACACTGCTTTGTGCAACTGTAGAGAGAAAAAAAAATGCAATTGTAGCCGTAATTGCAACAGTCTTAGCAGCTGAACAAGTCATTAGAAAGCAATATAGCGTTGTCTCCTGGGGGTCAGGCTTCTTAGGAGCGACCACCAATAGTCTGATTGTTCAGAGCGTCAACCAGGATGCCTGATGGGAGACCGGGCCGTCGAGGAGACACCGATACCCGGAATCAACTAGACTAAACTAGAGGAATGCGGTGAGAAGCGAGCAAGGTAATCGTCGACACCTTTGGTAGGTGTGTGTCCGTCCGTCCGTCCGTCCGTCCGTCCGTCCGTCCGTCCGTCCGTCCGTGCGTGCGTGCGTGCTGTCCCGGGGTGTCGATTGCTGGGAGATGTCGAATGGTGGGCGGGTTGGGGGGGGTCTGGGGGAGGGGGGAGGGAGGATCGTCTTGTGGGTGTGGTGGGGGGAGTGGGTTAGGGATGGGGGGAGTGGGTTAGGGATGGGGGGTGGGGGGTCCCCAGGCGGGTGGGAGTGGGGATGGGTGGGCTAGGGTGGGGGGGGGGGAGCGGGGGGGTCGATTAACCGGTTACCTGTTGTTGTTTTGTGAACGCCGTTGTTTTAAATACCCGTTGGTTGGTAGTGGCGGTGGTTTAAATGCCCCCCGTTGCTGGCTGCCGGTTTAAATGTCCACTGGCGCTTTGAAATTACCGTTATCCGCGTGTTTATTTTTTTTTTTTTAGGGGGGGGGGGGTTGATGCTTGCTTTCGTTTTAATCTACCGTTGTCCGTGCTGAGGTATGCGGAGCGTGAGGGAATATATACAGTGTTTATCGTTTGTCCACTACGGGCTCACCATAGCCCGTGCTACTTGCAACTTGTTCCGAGTAGCTGAATCTATAACAACAACACAGTTTGTCCCCGTCACCGTTACTTCGGTTTGGAAGTTCCCAGGAGGGGGGGGGGGGGTGTGTGTGTGTGTGTGTGTGTGTGTGTGTGTGTGTGTGTGTGTGTGTGTGTACTCGCGTATTTGTGCTTGCGGGGGTTGAGCTCTGGCTCTTTGATCCCGCCTTTTCAACTTGTCAATCAACTGGTGTACAGATTCCTGAGCCTATTGGGCTCTATCATATCTACATTTGAAACTGTGTATGGAGTCAGCCTCCACCACAACACTACCTAATGCATTCCATTTGTCAACTATTCTAGATTAATGTGTGTATTCACCTAGTTGTATTCATCTAGTTGTGCTTGCGGGAGTTGAGCTGTGGCTCTTTCTGCCCGCCTCTCAACTGTCAATCAACTTTTTATGCCAAGACAATTCATGTTGTTTACTGGACCAGTAGTCCCCTGGGGCAGACTTTAGAACCATTTGGGGACAGCATGGTGAGGATGGGTGGATGGAGACTTGAGAGTTGTTTAAGATTCACTGCTTGGAACAAAAAGTTCCAAGTAGCACGGGCTATGGTGAGCCCGAAGACTTCTTTTTTTTCAATATTCCCTATACCAGGCGGTGATTCGGACCATCTTCCTTATGACAGTAACTTTTTGACTAAACGTACAAATATGTACTGTTACCACCAGGACGTTAAGCCCTGAAATCATCTCAAGATAACCTAAAGCCAGAAAATTGAGGTTTGTTCTGTTATTAATGCCGTAGATACACAAACACCCAACATATTTGTATGGAAACGTATAGTACATATATGTACTACATTAGGGCTAAGAATGCTTGGACAGGTTAGATTCTATATTGACCCCCCCCCCTTTTTAAAGGTATTTAGGCTAATTTAGTAATGCAAAATATTTTTTTGGGGGGTGGGGGCGGATCCAAGAGTACGTTTAACCACTGAATTGTTACGAGTACTATAATTATGAGGGGCACAAGATACAATGATGGTAGTATATTGTAACTACCCCCCATGAGAAGTTTTGAACTACCCCCCATGAGAAGTTTTGAACTACCCCCCATGAGAAGTTTTGAACTACCCCCCATGAGAAGTTTTGAACTACCCCCCATGAGAAGTTTTGAACTACCCCCCATCAGAAGTTTTGAACTACCCCCCATGAGAAGTTTGGAAAAGGTTTAATATATGCAATTTTGTAAGTTGTTAAAGTGGTTCTTTGGTTTATATTGTGTTCGAGTTGTACCTTGTAATTGCCAGAATTTACCTGAAGGCCACTCTCTCTAGCGGCCTCGAAGGGGACAGGATGCCCGCGGCTTGTTTTTTTTTTTAAGAGTTATTGGGTATTATCTTTTGGGGTGTTTCATAGTGCTGATAACTAATGTTCATTTGTTAAGGTTCTGTTCCCATAATGTGATGATGTATTTACATGATGTCATAGTATATGCATAGATAGATGGCAAGATGGATAGATGACACAGATAGATAGATGGCAAGGTAAGGTAGATGGCATATTCCAATACAAGGTTTGGACAGTGAGGTAGACAGTTACCTGATAGACCTAGACCATCGTTACTACTACCACCACCATCAATACCACTACACTAACCACCCCATTCGTGTTCAGATATACTAGCCTTGGTAACTATTCTACTGTATTAATACCAATATTTGCAGTATCATAACTGATTTTCATACTGTTTTTTTCCTTATTTCCAGATCTGGCACCAAGCTGTCCCCAAG